TTTTATAAATTTAAATTAAATTTCAAAAAAAAGAATTAATAAAACTACAATGTTCAATGTCGCATGATGCGACACGGCCAAGCTTGGAGAAATGAAACGACAGGATTTCGTTGTAATTTTTTTTTTCTTTTCTAAATTATATTTTTACTTCTGTTGAAATATTTATTAGTTACACAGATTTTCGAATGCTTTTATTAATTTCTTACATATTCTTTCAATTTATGTTTTTTTTTTTCTTACATATAAATTACCGATAATTTATAATAATTACACAAATGATTGGTGACAAATTTAACGACAAATTATTTTATTTCATACATTTTCAATTAAACACAAATATTCAATTATATTTTAAATTTTCATGAAAATTAACAAATTACGTGATATTTCAACGTAATTTTTAATATATCACGTAAAAATACATTTTAATTTTTTATCTTTTAAAATATATTTCATATATACCATTATCCCATCCCATCTTTTCTCTCTGTTCCCCTGTCTCTCTCTCCCTCTCTCCCTCCCTCCCTCTCTCTGTCCCTGTTTTTTCCCTTACATTCTCTTCATTTCATAGCAAATAACGAAGAATTTATTTTATTTTAAATATTCATCTTGATTGTGTGGTATTTTTGGTGGTTGTTATTTTCTCTTTTTCTCTATTTTTTTAATTTTCTTTTTTTTCATTTATTAATTAGAACAAATTATGCAAAAAAAAAGAAAGAAAAGGAAAGGAAAAATATGCTGATATAAATGATCTATTTTTCCATAATATTTCCAAAGTTACTGTATTAGAAAAAAAAAAAGTATTTTTATTTTCTACCAAATGAAAAATTTTTTCTTATCTGTGCACATCGATATATTTTAAGTAAAAGTTTTTGATAAAATTAGAAAAAAAAAAGTTTATTAAAGAGAAATGATGTAATTACCAATTATTTGGATTAATTAAGCATACCTGAATATAACAGTGAAAACAATTTTTTACGCTTGTATAATAATGTCTTCTAAGATGTGAATACGTGATATGATTCACGTTTGTACGAGTTATGAGCACATAATACGATTCACGTTTGTCCGAGATATGGGAACACGTGATCGTTTGTATGAGTTGCAAACACGTGATGTGATTCACGTTTGCACAAATTGTGAACACGTGATTCAGGTTTGTATATGCATTCCTTACAATACAAATAATCCAATGAAATTAGTTGTATGCAAGTAATCTATTACCGGTTGAATGATTTTTAGACAAATAACGAATTAATGAAACGTAAAGAATTATATGATAAATGAACTTTTTCTTTTTTTTTGACCACTAAATTTAATTAAATACAAATTTAGATATTTAATTTATAGCAATTTAACTTAAATACTGCCATTATTAAAGAAATTAATCTAATTGATTGATTGATTGATTGGTTTTTGCATTTTGTTTATTCATCATATAATATACGCATAATAGCGTATTTTTTTTATGTCTTAGAATTAAAGGTTGACAAATAAAAATCAATTGACAATTTTCTATTAAAAACTTTTTAATTAAAACAGCAAAAAATATATACATATATAATACGAATTTATGTAATATGCTTAAATTCTATCGTTTAACATACTAATTGCACATTGGATGGCATGCTGGATGACAGATATCTGAAATGCAATTTGACGTGCATGCATAACACGTTCAGCGTCACTTCCTGCTTTGTTGAATGCATCGATCTGCAATACTTTCATAAAATTGCATCATATGCTAAAAAAAAAAAGAAAAAAAGAAAAAGGGGAGATAAATGAAATCATGAAATCAATAAATTATTCTATTTTTAATCACTGATAGTTTTTATTTAATATTTAAATTAACTATCATTTTATTCCTAATCGACATTTTTTTAAATTTATGCTTAAATTAAACTTTTAATTAAATATTCAAATTAGATTTTTTTTTCTTTAAATTAATCAAATAAAAAGAGAGCATACCGCATCATGAACAATACTTAAAGTAATAAAACGATGTTTATTTTTACTGCTAACACTAAACAGTAAATGTCGTTTTGATGGTTCATCCGGTATACCACGTGGATTGATAAAACATCGTTCAACACCCATCAAACGATCATTAATCCATGAAAAATGCCTCAGATCATAGAAATCAGTGAAATGATTGAGTAAAGTATATTGAATAATATTATCGAATCTTCTCGTATTTTCCAGAAATTCCTAAAAATGTTTAAACGAAAAATTATTTCATCCGAAAAAAAAAGTAAGCAAAAAAGAACTGATAAAATTGATAATACAACGATATCACAATAATTATCAGATTCTAATACATATATTGATCAGATTTTAATTCGAATCCTAAGACATATCTCATCGAACACATATCAATAGCCATCGAATTCTGAATCTGAATCTGATTCCAATTCTGAATCTCATCAACATATATCAATAGTCGTTTTGATTTTTGTTCTCAATCTTCTTATTTCATCAATACAAACAATATCAATAGCTATATGATTCTGATACGTGCATCTTATCATATCTTACATATTTTACAACAATCTCATCGTCAATTTCATTTATTTCGTTAAAATTTTTGTTATAAATTTTCAAATAATTTAAAATTTTCTGTTAAAGAAAAGAAAAAAAAAGTTGCTTAAACCACATACCATAGAAGTATTAAATAAGCAATTAAACTGATATTTAGCATCGTATAATATATCCTCATAATATATCAATTTATCTAATGATTGCTTAATTGGTGGAATGTAAATGTAAACAATGCTAAGTGCAAGATCTGTTATATTTATTGGAAGTACAGGTAAATCAGCAAATTTGCAAACAATTGCTGCCCAATATTTACCCACAGCTTCATGAACCTATAAATGTGAACAAATAATTATCCTTATTTATTAATTATAGTGATAAAATTGATAGTTGCAAAGAATTGTATTATTAAATTTGAATATAATTATGAAAGATTATTTCATTACCATATTTAGATATAATTATGGAATTATTGTTTGTTATAGAGATAAAAATTGATAATTATGAAAATCTTTATAATGATAATTATACAAATTTCTTATAATTATAGTCATTAGATAAAATTGATAATTATGAAAATTTTTCATTATCAAATTTGGATTTTTTTTTCTTTTTTTTTTAAAAAAAGTGAAAATTAATTAGAAATTTGGAGAAAATGTTTTACCTAAGTTAAAAGTAATATAAATAAGTACGATTAGAAGCATTTAAATTGTTTAATTTAAATATTTATTAAAATTAAAATAAAAATATCAGTTATACGATGAATAACAATTCTTTCTTCCTTTTTTTTCTTCTCTTTAATGAAGCAAATAAGCAAATTATGAAAATTATATCAATTATTAAATTATACAACAAAAAGTTAATGAGTAAAATTAAAAGTTACTAATTGATGAAATCTTTAATACATCATTAAATATGCATCCTATTTCGATTAAAATTTGAATTTAAATTATTTTTTAATGAATAATTAATTTTTGCTAACCGCTAAATTATTTGTATCAATGATATGTTCATTAGTAAATGATGTCTCATACAATGAATGATATAACGGATAATTATCGTATGATGTTTTATTCCTGAAATATTTAATTAATAAATTATGTAGAAAAAAATAAATAAATCGGTTCATTTTGTTTTCTTTCTTTTTTAAAAGAATTTTAATTTTTATAATTTAAACAGAAAGAAAAAAGGTTTGAATTAAAAAGGAAATAATAAAATAAAATAAAATAAAACGAAAAGATATGATGGAATATTGAAATTTTGAAATTATTATTTTTATAAATTTCAACTGCTAAGTTTAATTAAATTTTAAATTATTTTATGCATAAAGACAATTTATAATTTTAACTTATACCTGTAAGTAATATCAGCAACAGGTATACCAAGATAATTCAAAATGGTGCATGATCACTT